GGGGATGAGTATGTTCCATGTAATAACAAGCGGTCTTTTCCTATATCAAGCCATCCCCAAACTAGACTTGAACAAAGCAGAAAACTTTAAGAGGGAGATATATGAGGGTTATTTCTCCAACTTTGTCCAACTCAACTTTATGCTTTTTTTTTTTCTGCCTGAGAAGCACAGAATAAATCCAAGCTGTGATGACTGGGGAGAGCAGAGACTGCCTGAAGGCAGTGAGCAGATGTGTAGGCTGAGTGAGAAATTATAAGCAAAGAGAAAACTCAGACTAAGAGGATTTGAGCTTCATCAGACTTCATCATTAACAGAAGGATAGAGGGAAGTAAGGGCAGAGGAATGAGATCTATAAGGGCTTAACAGTCATGATTTCTTTCCTGTGGCCCTATCAAGAATTTTCAAAGGAGAGGATGCTGACTTTGGCCTCTTGCATAGCACATTTCCTAGGCTCACCTAGGACTAGAAGGTCCTTTACCTGTCTTTTTCAGTGTAGGCTCTATTTGCAGTTCTATAGATTTGAATACATTTCACTTTTTTTTTTTTTTCTAGGAAGAGAAAACACTTGGGCATTTTACACCTGTTCTCACTAATGACCTCTGTGCTTTAAAACAAATGGAATAATTTTCAGGGTTTAATGGGCTTTTGCCTTCAACAGCTACAAATAATCTAATTATCTAGCCACCCTGGGTACTGGATGATTTAAGAATTAAAGACATGATTAGAATCTGTTACAGTAATTAGAATCCATTTTAAACCAATTGCCTGTGGCATTACATGGTCTAGTGAAAGAAAGGCTGCTGGCTAAATGCTCTTCTACTAATGCAAAAAATAAATGTTAGCACAGTATTTTTTTTTTTACTAAGAAAACTGAGATTTCAGAAGTCAAGTCAATCAAATTGCCTGTCCCTTTTTATGCAATTTGCTCTTTAAATATGTCACACTTCATTGAAGCTAACAGCTAACAGAAGGATGACCACAGATCAACTGGGCTTTGGATGAGATTCACTGGACAAATTTGTACTTTTAGAAAATAAAGGGAAAATTAAAAATTTAGTGAATGGAAAATTCATTACTTACATAACTTAGAAATCATAATGAAAGAGATATGGGTAGATTGGGAAATGTGAGGAGAACTTCTGCAGAGAGAGAATGCCATGACCCACAGATCAGACAGAATCATTCACGGGAGTTAGCAAGTAGGAGCAAGTAGGTGTATGACAGTGACCCAGCTGGTATAACATTTCTGAATTTCCAGAAAGCTCTGACAACACTGCTTGATCCAAAACTGCTTAGGAAATTAAGCTATGACTGCAGAGGAAAAAGGATCTTCTCACAGGTAAAGGATGAGTTGAACCACAGAAAACAAGCGGTAGGATTTGGTGAATGATTCCCACCATGATGGCAGTGGAAATTAGCATGCAGCAGCCCTCTGTGTTGGCCAGTGCCAGTCAGCTCATCTGTGACCTGTTTGTGTGGACACTGGAACAGAGTGTTTACTGGTTTACACTGGCAGCCGTTGGCTGGATAGAACTGGTAGAGGATCCTCATAAGTCTCATCCAACAGGCAGCAAGGCAACATCAGGAAGAAAAGTGTTATACGTTAGTTGGAGGGGAATACTTCCCATATGTGCATTATTCAGGAAAGAGACTTTGGAATCATTCAGCTTAGTGTGTCCTAAAGGATAGCAGCATGGTAGTACTTATTAAGGTGGGAAGTGAGAACAAGACAGAAAACGTAATATTGGATGAACTTGTGATGTGTTCACGCTTTGAATATTACAGTCTGGCCACCTGTCTCAAAGAAAATGTTAGAAGTGCTAGAAGAGATTCAGAGACGGATACAAAGATGACCTGGACATGGGATGCTTCCATGCAAAAAGATCCAAAATGGATTGAGACTCAGCCTGGTAAATAAATTATTAGAGAGGGCTATGCAAGAGGGTTAACTAAGAATGTTGACAGTGAGGAAGCTATTTAAGCTCTTTGATTGAAAGGTTCTCCCGCTTACTCCAGGCAAAATGAGCCTCTGTTCAGGGGAACATGTGGCATTTCATTTCTTTCTTTGCCTTCTTACTCTCAATCTCATGCATCATGCTAGTTCACAGGACACCAGCTGAGCTGCAAACTGTACAGGCAAGGGGAGCCAAAGGTTATCTGAACTGAGGCTGGAGGGCAAAACCTTGAGAAACTCCCGTCCCTCTGAATTTGTCACTGAAATTTCAGCCACACTGTGAGCTGGGGAAAGTGTGCTGTGCCTGGCACTGTTTTTGCCTGTGTTAGCTGTTCCTATGTGAACATGCAAGATGTTAAATAATTTATAGCACTGCCACTCTTAAGTAGCACTGAGAGCCTGAAGATTGGTAAATGATACATAGAGACCTCTGTTCAGAAACCCTTTTCTATTACTAAATGATCTATAAATGACCTCATTCTTCAGAAATCATTTCCAATCTATTCTGAGTCATGTTGTGATGACTGAAGACAGGATCAGGATCAGTGACCAACTGCCAGTAAGTTGCATGGAAGATCCGGGATCTAGCAAGTTTCCTCATAGTTTCTTGTTTTTTACTCAATATAGCAACATGCCATGCTGCAATCTCAGTCCAGACTGGCAATGGGCAGCTCAGAAACTCCATTATAGCTTGTTTTATAGCACATCACATTCTCCATAGATCATTCCTGACTCATTTCCCAGGCAGGGAACTGACACTGTCTTCCTTCAGCTCATCTTCTCATGCCCTTTGCTTCCATGGCACTAACAGCAGCTGAGCAGTGCTTTATTCATGCGTACCTCAGGGTCCTTTTTTGATTTCATTTGTATCTATAACCTACATGTTCTACTGATGATGTGCTATTTGTGAACGAAATGGAGCTTTATCCTATCAGCCCAACTATCTTTCAAACATCCACCACTGCCTTACATATGTCCTTATCCATCTGCAGAAAAGTGGATGCCACCTTCTCTCATGCCACACTTGTGTGCCTTCCAGTAAAGCAAGGAGTTGTGTTTTTCAGATTTAAATAGGTCTGTCTTCTGTCACTTGCCACAGTGATAACAAATAAAATCTGTGGCTCAAGATATCAAAGAGCAAACTCCTCCTTCTGTAGGACATAAACCATATTCTAACCAGAAGAGCTTAAATAATAGGGTTCTTTTTCTAAATTCATTTGAATAGTGATCTTATTTGGAAGCTCTGCTAGCAAGTCACTGTCTACGGAAAGTTGTTGAGGTGCACAGACCCTTGATTTGCTCATTCTGAACTTTCTATGAGTTTGTTAGTGCAGGCACCACGCACTAATACCAACAAATGCAGTACAGACAAATTTAATGAATACTTCACTTTTTTATGTCATGCAGAGAAAATGCTTACACTTAGCAGTGCCTGAGGCTGGGGAAAAAAAATGAAAAGACAAAATAATGTGTTTTGTACTGGATTAATAAGCAAAGGGACTATGGTGTACGCAGTTCTGTGATTCTATGATTCTATAGCTATAGAGGTATAAGGTATGATTCATGTCATCTAAAGGGGAACATCTGCACCAAAATGAGTTGGCCTAGGCTTTTTGAATAGTTTATAGAGAGCTAGGTGTTTTTAGGGTGGAGTTCACATGTCCTGTGCTAGACATCTACATCTGGTCAGCTGGACACACTATGAGCCCCATGTAAGTGATGCTGTTGCACCTTGCTAGGTATGGGGTACTTTGGAGAGTGCACAGCTGCCCGTCTGATGAGAGAGAGAGCTACCACTATCACTTGATGTTCTGCAGAAGATTCAGCTATTCTAAGCCACAAATATGCTGGAGTGCAGACTGGGCTGAAAGAGGGATGCCAGGAATCTCAAGGACCATCAAGCTCCAACCCCCCTACTGCAGGCAGGGCCACCAACTTCCATATCTAATACTAGATTATATTGCTCAGGGCCCCATCCAACCTGGTCTTAAACACCTCCAGGGACAGGGCATCTCAACCTCTCTGGCAGCCTCTTCCAGCACTTCATTACTCATAAAAAAAGAACTTTCCCCTGATATCCAACCTAAATCTTCCCTCCTTCAACTTAGAACCATTTCTCCTTGTCTTGCTATTACCTACCCTTTCAAAGAGTTGACTCCCCTCCTGTTTGTAGGCTCCCTTTAGGTATTGGAAGGCTGCAACGAGGTCAGTGAATGAATAAGTGAGCTGCCAATGCACAGGTGCTCTGAAAAAATGGATGAGCCAAAGGGAGTGGTGCTTTCAGTATGCTTGGAACCAACGCTTAAAGTTTGTGAAGAAAACCCTGATAGCATCAGATACCAAACTCTTTCCATCTCCCACATCATGAAACAGCTCTGGACCAAAGGTGCTGTTACCATGTACAGTAACACATGACACTGCTATGTGGTTGCAAGTCTCCGGGTTACACCAATGCAGAGAGAGATTTTTCAGGTGAATCATTCGGGGCACCTCCTTAAGGCTGCAGCTCTGGGCTCTCCATTGGGAAACACTTCTCGTCTATGGTATAGGCAGAGCATCTAATGCCTCCTAAATGGGATATTGTACAAACCTCACCCTGTCCTGATATCAGGAAAAAACAGAAAATATCTGACCATGTGGAAGATCTCTAAGTAAACTACCCTAATGAGAAGCTGGAACAATTGACTTACAGGAAAATGTTTTCAGTCAATATCTTTGTCAGTATCTTTATTTTTTTGTTTTCAGATGTTACGGTAATGATGGATAATCAATATGGGAAATAAACACATTTTTAAGACAAAACTGAACCTAACAGTCTTAGTGCTAATGTGTATTCCTTCTATAACTGTGCTGCTCAGCTTCACCTCCATTTCGTGTTGTCATTGTTGATTGTGTATTGCTTAATTACTACATTACAGCACTTCTTAGACTGTGGCAAGGAAAGTATTGCAGTCAGAAAACACAGTTTTAGACTGAAATGTGTATCTGTCCCATCATCTCAAAAGCTAGAAATCTGCAATTACATGCTGAAGTATTGCTCACTTACCAACTGATATGGTCCAAACAGCGATTATTTTTGCAAAAGCCTTTGTTCTTGAGTTAAACCTGCTGTGGTAGATGGGATTTCGAATGGCAATGTAACGATCCAATGAGATGGCACAGAGGTGCATGATGGAGGCAGTGGAGAAAAGCACGTCCAGGTAGATCCAAATGGCACACAGCTCCTTAGGCAGAGGCCACGTGTATTCTGAGCAAGAGAAAGTTGACATCAGCTATAATGTGACGTAGTCACATCTTCTGTTGCGAAGCATTTTTCTTACTGCGCATGTATTCCTAGGAAATGCTGGTAGTAAGGAAGCTGTCTGATAGCTTCTCTATTTCTCTTTTAGGAAATCTTTTTTTTTTTTTTTTTTTTTTTTTTTTTTTCAATTTTCTTGCAAAGGCTCTGTTTGCTTTTTGGGGTTATTTATTTATTTATTTATTTATTTATTTATTTATTTATTTTTCCCAGGCTGCAGTGTGGGTATGTGTTTTTCTTTTCTATGTGAATAATGCTTGATGTTGTAATCAACATCTATGGAAGGAGAAAAAAAATTGTTACTGCACGTGTGGAATTTCTCAGTTTTCCATTAGAAATTATCATTAGTGTGATTACTGTATTATTAACACCTGCTGATCTACAAAGCCTTCTAAATTCTGAAACTGAAACTTCAGATTTGGTGGCAGCTGGAGAAAGAAATATATTTAGTTGCATATCAGTGATGTTTATGACACCTATCTTTAGATAACTTATTTCCACATATTTAGATAGGGACAATATTCTAATATCATCAGTGTATATTGTCAGGCTACTACAGAGAAAGCAATCCGAAGATAATACATGAGAGTTTATCAGTATCAATCCTACACGTTCTTTGCTGCAAACTAAGCCTTTCTTTTTCCTTGTTTTTTCCACTGGTAATGAAGAATAATTGATTACTGTCCTTTCTGAAAGCTATTGGAAGATGGCTATCATGTCTTGTCTATCTTTTTCTCTTCCAGACTAAGCAAAGCCAGTTCCTTTATCTTTTGCTTGCAGATGATGTTTACAGAACTTTTATGCCTCTTGTTTCTCTGCCCCAGAATCTATTTAATTTATCTTGCTGCAGTGACCAATGCTGGATCCTGTTCTTGATGCTGCTGAAAAGGCCTCCTGACTGCTAAGTGAAATACGAGCCTGCTTCGCGGGTCTTGCAGGAATGCTCTTACTTATCTAACCTGGAATGAACAGGGCCTTTGGTATGAAAGCATCATACTTATGCTGCATACTTAGCTTATGATTCATTTTGACAGTCAGATCTGTTTCAAGATTCTGAAGCCTGGACTAATTTCCCCAGCAGGCGTTGGTTTGATATCTCTTCCTAAGTGGATAACTTTGCTTTTATCCTCACTAAATTTCATTTGTTCATTTTAGACTTTCTCTTTTGGGGTTGATGATTCTGATTCTGGGCATCTGAGTGCTTGTAGCCTCTCCCACTTCAGGCTTTTGGAAAATTGTGTAAGCTCATAGTATATCCAAGTTGTTAAGCAGGCGTAGGCTAAGCAGAGCCCTGCAAAACCGTCATACCAAGGTTCTTCTAGTCCTGCAGGGAACCACCAGTAAGTCTTCTTGGGGCAAGTTTTGCAGTTAACCTTCCCTTGTCTTTTGGTGATTTAATTTACCACGTTAATTACCCAAGCTGCCCAAGAATGTGTTGCATAGGACAATGGTAAAGCTGATGTTGTAAGAAGATATTAGTTTTTCAGGGTGTGCCTGGCTCTTTTGGAAATACAGTACAACCAAGTTTGCAACAGAAGGATTAGAGGCAGAGGAATTAGGTCTGTGCCTAATTACATTTACTCTCTCTAAGCACTGCAGAGACCTATTTCCTGGTGCTCTTGGATGGCTGTAATGTGACTGACTCTAATAAGCCATACGGTATTTATGGATAAGTTTTATCTTTTTCCTGCTCTTCCAAAGAGGAAGCCAGTCTCTGGAGAGCTCTAAATGAGGGCTGAATTTCTGAAGCATGTCTTCCTCGCAGCCTCTATGTCAGCCCAGGACAGTTTGCACAGGGAAAAGGCAGAAACTACTTTTGCGCTCAACACTATGCGCCTGTTCTCTTTCAGAACAGATTTGTCACACCCTTCTAGACTTCTTGTCCTTGCTCTAAACCTGGATATGGCAGGGATAGGCAGCATTCTTCAGATAAACCACCTTGGAGACTACATGGCCATGAAATGGAAGACAGATGAGAGGAGCCAACTGCAGATGCAGTGCAAGTCAAGAAGGGTGCAGCCTCCTCCAGGCTGACCTTACGACATGTTAAGTGACATGTGAGATGGGGCACCTTGGTCTTGTGCCATCTTCTCACCATTGCCTAATTCACCCTTCTGCTTATCCAGGGGAAACAAAGCAAAACAAAACAAAGTAAAACAAAACATGGCTCATGAGAGCTCCTGATGTCTAGGAGCTCACACGAGGGAGACCCATCCGAAGAAGAGGCAAGTAATGCTTGCACATCTGCTAATGGTCAGGTTGTGAGGCTGAAAGGGAGAGCAGATAACACAGAGACAAGATTTTTCTCCTGTTGTACCTAGATAGTATGAAGAAGAGAAGTGTTTTCTCCCAAGGCCTTTCAGGAGAGGAGGTGGAGAAGTGAAGCTGACCAGGATTGGTAACAAGGGATATGCGAAAACTGAGTGATGAAGGGCTAAGGAAAGAGGAGAGTCTGTAGGCAGGCATGGTTGCTGAAAAGGCCTTGTATACTGTTGTACCTTGTCAGAAGCACCTGAGCTGAGGCCTCAGAGTTAGTGCTGGGCTGCTCAGGAGCCCTTTGAAGCACCTGATCCTTCTGCTGCAGCAGGGAAGAAGCATCTGCCAATAAACCCAACAACATCTCCATGCTGCCATGGGGCAAATCTCCAAGAGATGTTCAGAACTAAGTGCATGTTTGAGTGGGAAAAAGTACTGCTCAACTCTGGGTGTTTTCTGATCTGTGGGCACATTCACCTTTCCTGGATGCTGTGAAAGTGTTGCAGAATGTCTTTTCAATGGGAAGCTGGAGCTGCTGGGTGGACAGAAAAGCCTGCCTGGCTTCTGTTGTGCAGGACATTTGGTCAAGGCATCCCAATGGGAATTGCACAAAATAGTGATAAGGTGTAGGTAAAGAAATCATTTTTGTTTCTAGCAAAATTGTCAAAATTTCCCTGCAAAGAGTGAGTGGAGGAGCAACCTCATTGCAAGTCCCTTGTTACAGAGGTCCCTAATTCTGACTGGGGATTACCATTGTAGGTGGCATAGAATCATAGAATCATTTAGACTTGAAGAGATCATCCAGTCCAACCATCTTCCTTCCATCACTAAATAACCTTTAGTGCCACATCCACACATCTCTTAAATACATCCAGGAATGGGGACAGCACCACTTCCCCAGGCAGCCCATTCCAATGCTCAACCACACACTCCATGAAGAAATTCTTCCTAATATCCATTTTAACCCCTCTGGCATGCCTTAAGGCCATCCTCTTGCATCTTATTACCACGTGATACCACCTGTCTGATTGCTGCCTGTGGATTTGCAGGGCTGCCTGTAGGAATCCCAGTCCTCATCTCCCAGCCAGATATCTCTCAGCCGTTAGGGTTTGGGGCACTTTGGGGTTTCGTCGGCAGCAGAGCCTGGCCAGCAGGAGTCCCTGTTGCTTGTCTCAGGGAAGCAGGCAGTGTCAGGAAGGGTTTTTGTTCACCTTACGCAATGGACGGTTTCTGCAGCTTTACGCTGCTTCTCCAACGGCCAGAGTGATTGCACAATTAGTGCAATGAATCACAGCCTCATACCCTCAGCGGTGTCAGCACCATGCAGAAATGTGGTACTGGGAAATAAACTTCTAGTGTGCTGGATGAAACCTCTTGTAAGTTACAGCCTCGCACTCAGAGAGCTCTACTCCTGAAACCATGCGGCTATAGAAACCTTTGCAAACAACCTCGCTTTCCTCCTCGGCTTCTCTTTCAAATATAGCCACTTGCTTGTGGTACTGGAAAACTCATTTTTCAAAGTTTAGGGATGATAATAGCCTGACAATATTGACACTGAACACACAGGCTGCTGCTTTTTCCTACGCAAGCTGTGCTGCAAATGATTTCGGCACAAATGAGAAGAAAGGTCTGCTATATTAATCACCTACAAGGGTCTGAACTGTGAGTCATAATCCACTTAATTCTTAAATATCTTATGGAATTGTAGCTAATATTTAGCTTTGCTTCTGTAAATGTTAGTAAAAATTAGGCAGAATTAATTCCCATCCAGTTTTTAACTCCCACAGTATTTATTGCAGCCTGTCTCTGTAAGTGAAGGTCTAAGTAAGATGTTGGTGCTAAGGGAATTTTAAAGTTTGAATTACTTCATTAAAAAAATTAAAGGGGTTGCCAGCTTTTACTCTAAAGGCAGTCATTAGTCCTTCCACACATTTTTGCAAAGCAGAGTAGCTGGCAGGACCCTATATTCCCACCAGAATTACTGAAATTTATAAGCCAGGGAAAACAATGAAAGAATAAGGAGAACAAAGCGTCTTCATGCATGTTTTGAGACAATTCCATCAGCAAATAAGTAAATATCTATCAATCTGTTCTTACGTCCATTAACCACTTACATGCTTCCCGCATGGAGTCATTACAGTAAGAATGAAATAAGAACAATGCCAACACGTGCATGCAATGTTTAAAGCTTCCCTCAACATGCAGCAGATTCCACAGCTCGTACTCACCGTACAGTATGGTTAACATTGACACGGGCATGACAAGGAAACCCAGCAGCATATCAGCTATTGCAAGTGACATGAGAAAATAGTTAGTGGCATTCTGCAGCTTTTTCTCCAGTGACACAGCCATGATGACAAGAATATTCCCAGCAATGGTTAAAACAATCACTATCACTGTCAGCAGAGCTGGCCAGTTTTTCTCTGAGAGCTGAAAGAGGGACGAGTAGCACTGAGGACTTTCACATGAAAGATTGGTCAGGTTTTCGGAGTCCGCAGTCAAGTTACAGAAATGTGACACATTAGTCTCTCCTGGTCCGTAAACGTTTCTGTAGAGTCTCCTCTCATGATTTATTTGCATTAAGGAGTTTGCAGTTGGGTTCACAGAGCTTTCCTCATCACAAAGGGTATCCATTGCTAAGTCTGAAATCGGTGAGATAAATGGTGAAAAATAGGAAATGGTCACCCTTTGTCACCATCAGGCTTTGCATTCCTCAGCTGTCTGTGGCAGAAGTTGGTGGAGCCCAATCCTTTGTCAACTGCATTTTTACCATTAGCACGATGTAGAAAAACATACCAGAATTACTCCAAATGCCGAAATGTTTTGTTTTCTGTTCCATAGGAAGTCCAGAGTTGGCACTGAAAACCCAGGTAAAAAGCAAAGCCAAACTAGAGGACAGAGACCGTGGACTTGAGGCTTGAGAGAGCAAAAATATTGTAGAAATAAGAGAGAAAAAACTTTTGCAGCCACTAGGACTCCCCTCTGGAGCTACATCTTATTGCCATTGGTAACTGTAATCACACAATTTTGAACACAGCAGTATTAAAATAGCTTGCCATACGAAGCAGCAGAACTCTTGCTTCCCTGTTAAGAAAGTTGATTAAAGATTCTGTCCGGCATCTTTCTCTTGAAATAATTAGATATGCTCTTATTTATAGTGCATCTTCCATAATACGCCTGATATTCTGTTGCATTTCTGACTTCTGTTGCATTTCAGGATCATTTTCAGCCCCAGATCAGTGATTACACGTTCTGCTCCACGCTGATTTTTGTCACTAACTGTACCTTTTGGCCCAGCCTGGCTTCAAAATGGAAAAGAAAAAAACAGATACTATGATTTTAAAAACAAAACAAAACAAAACAAGACAATTTAAGAGAGACTTACATTGCACTTCAGAGCCCACACTCAAACTGCGTTTGGGTTCGCTCTGTGCCCCTGTCTGCCTGCATCCTTCAGCATTTAGCCAGTTTGGGGTTCTTTTTCTTCAGCCTCCTCCAAAACGGTGGCACTTGGAAAAAATCTTTTGGTTTGCTTGTTTTGTTTTGTTTTGTTTTGACTTCTAAACTGCACACTCGAGTGAAGCCAGCTCCTGTGCTGCGAGGCTCTCTCTTTTCTTCTGAGAGATAGGCTGCTCGCCGGCTCTTTCCTTGTGCGATTCCCCCGCCCCGGGGCAAGCTATATTTAAAATAATAATAATAGCAAAGCCCTTCGCACACAGTGACACAGAAGAAAGCACGCACACGAGGAAAAGCAGCCAGCAAGGAGGAATTACAGATTTCGACAGGAATGGAATTTCTTGCTCGCTGCCTCGTTCGGTTTGTCAGACCTCCCACTATTTGGATGTCACAAACTGCAAGGTAGCGACGGCAGAGGAGGGCAGTCCAAGCAGGGGATTTTTTTATTTTTTATTTTTTTTGCAAACCAGCAGTTTTTCATGGCATATTTTGGAGGTCCTGAGCTTGGGTCTTTTTCACACACTTTGCACACGTTGCATTTGCAGAGGATGCCTTGCAAACACAGCTGCATGCAATTACAGCGTTTCACAGGATGTAGGCTTAAAGAGATGAAATCTAAGGCTCACAGTGGTAGATAGTAGTGAAAAACATAAGTGCAAAGCTTTTTCCATCTACAGGGGAAATTATGCAAGCCTTACAAGGAAGAAATAATGATCAGTCCCCTTCAGTTTTAACTCCACGTCTATGCTGGCACGCTTATCAAACTGGCAGTGGCTATTTATAAAAATGTGAAGTCAGCCTGACGTCCCTCCCATTTGTGAGGAGGGGATGTTACAGCGAACCCCAGCAACCTGTCCCAAAGAAGCATCCCAGATGAAGCAGGTCTCTAAAGCAAAGTAGCACACAGCAGATGGGGGATTTGTGTTCTCTGACAAATCAGCCCCTCACAGTCCATTCTGCCGCATGAAGTAAGCAACTCTTAAATTTTCCACATAGCAGAAATGCTCCTCAGAAATTCCCCAAGACTTACTCTTGCCAAAAACTAAGCAGAGGAGTTGGGTGTGTGCTCCCATAGCTCAGGTTGGCATGCAGCATCTCTAACTCTCCTGCACATCTCAGGGGGCTGCAAGTACGTGGAGACTTGCCACAACTTTTCTGCTATGTGCTGATCTCATCAGCGGTCAAAGACTTATCAAAGGAAGTCCCAGGGCACATGCTCCATGTCTATGAGGCATTTTTTACGGTAAAGCCTCTCACAGTAAAGTCACTTTGGGATCAGTTTTGCAATCTACTCCCACACCAGCAGCTACCAGAGCAGGACAGAGCAGCCAGAGAGCAGCTCCTACTTGGAAATCAGAAATGAATCATCTCAACACTAAAGCTTCCCAGTCCCATAGAATAGCCCAGGAGACTATCAGACAGCATAAGCTGGTAAAGAAGGCTGATAGTGCTGAATTTAGCATGAAACATTTTAACCCTAACAGTGACACGTGAGATCCCAAATAAGCTCTTTCCCTCCCTCCTTTAACATGATAACTGAATTGGGTTACTACAGTTAACAAGGGAATTCAACATCTCGGCTCCAGAGATTTTAGCAGCTATCCCCATAAAGATGCCCTTGGTGTGAGAATGCAAACCTGCTGTAGATATGCTCCACTATTGCTGAACATAGCTACTTAGTGGGCTAAATAATCCTAGTGGTCTTAGAGGTCTTTTCCAACTTTTAATGAGTCTATGATTCTATGTGGGTTAAATATTAGAAAATAAATTATTAGAAAGGGTGGTGAGGCACTGGAACAGTCTGTTTAGGGAGGTGATGGAGTCACGATCCCTGGAGGTATTCAAGAAATGAGTAGACGTGGCACAGAGGGACATGGTCAGTGGGCATGGTGGAGATGGGCTGATGGTAGGACTGGATGATCTTAGAAGTCTTTTCTGACCTTGATGATTCCATTAATCTATGATTCTGTACTTGCAAAGAGGGACCCAAGACCCCTCGCCTAAGGGTAAGTGTAAGTTCTTTCTGAGGAGACCAGACATCCTCTGCTGTTTTCTCATAGGGCTTCCTCCAAGCTCAAATGATTCTTTGATGTAATAGTTTCAATGGGAAATACTTTCTGGGAGGTAAATACCCCAACTGTGGGTCAGAGGCTGGTTACACCAGCAAAGTTGTACCAGACAGGTCTGTGCACTTGTTTCTCACTCCAAGACTAGAAAGGAGATTTGGAACAAGGTCTTCCAGTTTCTTGCATGAATGCACTGTGTGTAATAGTGTGTGTAGGCTGTGTGTAAAAGTTTTGTGAACCCTAGATTCACATCTGCAGCTCCTTGTAGGCCTGAAGCAGATCCCTGAAGTGTAGAAAGAGGCAGGAATTTATTACCTTCCTGGTCCACACTGAGCAACTTCACCTTCTCTTTGCTCTGGTAGTATAACTCTCACCCAGATACTTAAACCTTTCTTGGATCCAAAGTCTCTTTTGAGAATGTAACTCTGGACAACAGAAATATACACAGTACATGTTAACAAGTTGGATGTCTCCATGATGGAGACCTTTACAGATACAGTCATAAGATCTTCAGGTAAGCATTGCAACATCTCCTTTTGTCTGCCGTAGACACATTTGTCTGAGTGTCTTCTGAGCAGTCTTCTGTCCCATTTGTTAGATGTGAGCCTGAGGCATAGTCACATCAAAAATCCTTCCTTGCATGTGAAGCATGGATGGCCAAGAAAACACTTCTGTGTAGCTCAGTATGTCAGAAACAAGCTCATGATCCTATGTCTTCTAGCAAAGTGTGCTGGGTGTTCTACTGGGTGAAAATATATTCTGTTATTTACCTCCAGATTTAACACTACTACCCCCTGAAAACCTGAAAATGGCTTTTCTTCCATGTAATGTCACTACAGGTGTCAAGCAACCCAAAACATACAACCTTCCCATGCTGAGCTCAGTGAAAGGAGGGTACCTGGGCTTTCCCATGTGCTTTCATCTCCTCGCAGAACTGAGAGTGTTCTGCATTGAAGCAACAGTTGAATACAACTCCCGCATTATTTTCAATGTCTAAAGCCAATGCTGACCATTGTTTTTCCTAAAGGTGAATAGCTCTGGAAAACTGAAATCCCAGGAAGTGTCTGTACTGAAAACAAAGACAGCTGCAGTCTGCTACAGCCTATGTAAATTAAGTGTAATCTTAGCTTGAAGTGGTGATAACGTGGTCTGCAGCTAGGCATTAAGCATTCTTCAGAAACAAAGCAGGCACTGGAACATACTGCTTTGTAATTTCTGGTAGAGACCAATGTATGGCATTCATGTGAGCCCCTCCTCTGTTCCCCAGCCCTGCTTCGAAACGTTGTAGGCCATTAAACTGCCCACTTGGGCAGGGTTTTTATGATTGGCGTGGTGTGTTACTGCTTCCTGAAAATGTATTCCTTTTCAGCAATGTCTTCTGATAGGGGACAGGTTTTTTAAAAATCAGTTCATTTACGTAACTCAAACTTAGGATAATTCAAGGTATACAGGCCTCTGAGTTTGTTATTGCCTTCTTTGATGTTTTCAGTAGATAGTGTAATCAGTAACTGTATAAACTGCAGAGGTTAATCATTCACTCTGATATCTAGAAGTCAGGCCAGGGGAGCATGAATAGTTTTCATCATGGTTGAACTTGCAGTTATCTGGTTTCTCTGTTTACATTTACTGGAGCTGCTGGAGCAGTTCATGTTCTGGTGCCTGGAGACATGAATCAGAGCCAAGTTATTATAAACCAGAACAAATAACTAAATGGTGCTGCTCTGATTCTTTATGATACATGCTCCACAGTTGAGCTCAGGCTGGATCTCTTGATCTTCTCAACCCATTCTGTTGTAGAAACAGCTGTCACCACCTTTCCAAAAATCACGCAGGACCAGCATCCTTCATGCTTGCAGTCCATGGGTGAAGATCCCAACAAGCTGAATTCTGTGGCACCAGCACCATGTCCTCGTGTGCTGCTTTCAAAAGCCTCACTGGCTCATGTATCCATGAGGTGTGGATGGATGTATGGCATTCCTGGTGACACGCAGTATCCTCTTTCCTCACTGCATGTAATTCTTTCAGGATCCCCAGGCCATTCTGCATACTTACAGTCCCAACAAGGAGGTAAGTGTAAGAAACTGCAGCACTCTAAGGCATATATCTGCCTAGAGATGTCCACTGGGACCAGTATCACTACACCTGATATCACTTCCATGTTGATGTGATTCCAGCACAGCTCAGTGAAGTTGTTGTGTCACAAAACTTGTGTAATGATTTGTGGGCTGGAAATCACAGTGGGAAAAAAAAAACAACCAAACACCTGTCTTGTGAAATGTTGACTATTTAAACAGTTTCTTCATATCATTTTTTTTTTCCACAGGAGGAAAATCTCTGAAGAGCTTCAGTTTCTGAAGGTACACAAATATTTTCAGTATTTTTTAACAAAATGTAGTATTTTAATATTGTTGAATTAAAAATGTTTTCTTGTGAGCCAGCTACCTGGCTGTGATGCAAATTATCTTATTCCCTTATTCTCTGGGACGATTTATATCCATTGTAGCAGCAAGCCCAGAGGCAGTTTCACATTGAACTGAATTGAAATCAAATATTCTTGTTCAGTTAAAAAATAAAGTGAAACATTTGATTTTGGTCAAGTCAGTGTAGTGGAGAAAATATTTTGCTTTGATATTCCCAAAGGAAACCTGAATGCCTTGGGCAAAATTAATTTTTTCTTGCATAAAATGTTGATTTTGTGGAAGCAGTTTTCCACTAAAGGCCATGTTACTGGCAAGCATCCTTTAAGTTTTTGTGCTGAAGCAATGAACAGCCTGTGATGCTTTAAGAATGAACTCTGCAACCTTATTTATAGAAACCTCTATAAATATCTGTGCTTTGTTTCAGAAAGGCTTGAAAGTTCTTCTTCCTAATCTTTCTCTCAGGTGTAAATGTTGACTATTTATACAACCGACAATAGCTTTTATATGATCAGAGACCTCTGTAGGTCTTTGGTTTACTAAAACCCATTTGGTTTTGGATATCTCCATTTCAGCATTACTGGAAAGAAGCTGGCAGGTTGACTTGTTCTGCGTCAGTGTAATGCTTTGGTCTGATGAGGGTAGATGTGGCTCTGTGGGACA